AGGAAGGTGGTGGCTGCCCCATCCCTGGGGAGCTGAGCCTGGGGCTTCTGGGCTGGGCTTGGAGCATCTCCCTCATCTGCAGGCAGGGATCAGGCAGGGATCAGGAAGGGATCAGGAAGGGGCCAAGCAGGAGGTGTCAGGGATCAGGCAGAGGCCAGGGATCAGGCAGGAGGTGTCAGGGATCTGGCAGGGACCAGGCAGGGATCAGGGATCAGGCAGGAGGTGGCAGGGATCAGGCAGGGATCTGGCAGGGGGTGTCAGAGGCCAGGCAGGGATCAGGCAGGGACCAGGCAGGGATCAGGCAGGGATCAGGCAGGGATCTTGCAGGGACCAAGCAGGGACCAGGCAGGGACCAGGCAGGGACCAGGCAGGAGGTGTCAGGGATCAGGCAGGGATCAGGCAGGGATCAGGCAGGGATCTTGCAGGGACCAAGCAGGGATCAGGCAGGGATCGGGCAGGGATCGGGCAGGGATCTGGCAAGAGGTGTCAGGGATCAGGCAGGGATCAGGCAGGGATCAGGCAGGGATCAGGCAGGGATCAGGCAGGGATCAGGCAGGGATCAGGCAGGGATCAGGCAGGGATCAGGCAGGGATCAGGCAGGGATCAGGCAGGGATCAGGCAGGGATCAGGCAGGGATCAGGCAGGGATCAGGCAGGGATCAGGCAGGGATCAGGCAGGGATCAGGCAGGGATCAGGCAGGGATCAGGCAGGGATCAGGCAGGGATCAGGCAGGGATCAGGCAGGGATCAGGCAGGGATCAGGCAGGGATCAGGCAGGGATCAGGCAGGGATCAGGCAGGGATCAGGCAGGGATCAGGCAGGGATCAGGCAGGGATCAGGCAGGGATCTGGCAGGGATCAGCCCCCCCAGTGGTGCTCACCTCACACTGCCCCCGCAGCCCCCGCTCCTGCAGCCGGGACCAGATGCTCTGGATCCTGCCCGCGTGCTCGGGGTGGTTGCTGTTGTCCCCGCAGCTGCACTGGTGCTTCAGCATCACCGAGTCGTACACCAGCCCTGCAAAGCACCAAGGGCAGCTGGTGTCTCCAGACTGGACCGGGCACCCAGGCCTGGGTGGTGCTGAGCCCAGTTCAGCCCCTTCTCCAGGGGCTGGTGAAGACCCTCAACACCCACAACCACCTGGTTTGGCTCCAACACCTCCCTCAAACCATGGGAACCCAACGTGCTGGGAGCAAACCCTGCCTGGGAGAGGTGAGGGGGCTGATCTGTGCCAGCACCACTGGCCCAGTTGGGCAACCAAGGGGCCAGGAGGGCAAGTCCTACTTGGAAAAGCCACCTTAGATCAGGAGAAAGGACCCTCATGCCTTGTTCTGCTCTCCTTGCAGCCAGACGAGCACTCCCAAGCCTTGATGAGACTGGGAGTGACTGGGATTGGACCCAAAGCTGCCCCTGAGCATCCCCAGCTCCCTCCCAGCTCCCCAGCTGGGACAGCCCTGCTGGTACCTGTTGTGAAGTGGGGCTTGGCTGGCTGCTCCTGCACGGGCAGGGAGAGGGTCTTGGTGCCCGTGTCCTGGGCAGGAAGGGAGATGGTGGCAGTGGCAGGAGATGACTGGGCCCTAGAGAGGGGTCTGTGCCCCCCGTGGAGGGTGGGGACCATGGGGGGGTCAGCCAAGGGCTGTCGTTTGAGGAGCTGCTGCTGCACACGCTGGTAGGAGTCCCAGAGATAGGCCTGGTGGGGAGAGGAGGTGGTGAGAGCAGGGCTGGGAGCAGCAACCCCTGGCCCAGGGAAGGGACCCCCCCCCACTGCATCCCCCCCATTCCCTGGGGTCGGGATGCAGCAGCTCCCCCCGTGCTGGGGGGCTGGGAGGTGGGATGGAGGAGCTGGGACATGTCAGGAAGCATCTGCTGCTCCTGCTGGGAGTGCAGCCCCTGAGACCCTGCCCAGTAACCCTGGGATCCTGCCCAGTAACCCTGGGACCCTGCCCAGTAACCCTGGGACCCTGCTCAGTAACCCAGG